AATATTTCATTTCCAATTTTAAATAAACGCGAAACAAACCATAATGTGAAGCAGTTGTGGGTGGAAAAAGCTATTTACGAATTCAAAACCCATAATTCTCTTTAATAACCATGGCAGTGAATTAAAAAAAATACAATTCTTTCACCATCATAAGAAATATACTACACTCGAGCTAAAAAATACAAAAATTTAACTCCATTTATGCAATTTCCTTAAAGTCCCGAGACAAGCAAGGATCACAAGTCCTGAAATCTGCAAAGATAACAAACATGTAAGGACAGATTTTTTAAGCGTTCAAGTCATCAATTTCATTTCTTAAAATAAGGAAATACGATAGATTTAAAACACACAATACAATAATGCAGTAGAGTTTGAGAAGGAGGAATTAACATTGCACCAAATGATATAAGTAGGAATATAATACCAATCAATAGTCATAAACCGACAAAATAGAAAAAGCAATTTTAGTTTCAAACAAGAAAAGTTTCAAAAATCATCTGCTCGGAGAATTAGGTTTCACCAGTGTTATAATATTCCTTCAAAATGGACAGGGCAGCTCCATAAATTATAGAAGCATGTTACTTTTAGTAGACAAATTATTACCATATATGAATCAAAGGCAACGTAATTTCATCATGAACAAATAGAGATCTTTTTTGATTAAGGTTTATATTAAATTACTGAATTAGAATAAAAACAAATTGATGCATTTCAGTGGTTAGTAACAAGTTTGTAAAGCAAGAGATTGATTGATGAAAACCCATTAATTATTTCATTATTCATTCTGTATTTATTCGCCGATTCATATCACTGAGTTTCAGAATCAAATAGTATGAGTACACTAGTTTGGTTGGCAACAACACATAAATATCAGTTTCCAACATACAGAGTTAGGTAACAATTGATAATGTAAAAATAATAGAAGAGACCAATAAAACGGAAAAATTACCTCATATATTGCTTGGATACATAAAGACTCTAACCCTTGCTCCCTGCATAAGCATCAAAACTTTATACTCAGACACCATAAAAAGTGGGGAAAACAAAAAACCAAATACTCTATGAAGCAGAAATTACCATTGATCTCGGTGGTAGATTGGACTTGAACTTAGCACGGACAATACCGCTGTTACCATGAGGCCTGGTGACCTTACCCCAAATGCAGCGATAGTGGGTTCCATTCTTCTTAACCTTTGCTTTGTAAATGTAAGCCATGCGCTTCCCGCAGTAATAGGCAACTTCTTCCTTGGAGTTCACTCCCTCAATCTGAATAAGAGAGGTGTTTGGGTATTGATTCGACTTGGACCTGAACAACACCGTCAATTCCTTAACAGTTACGGCAAATGAAGCCCTACTAACTACTAACTCTAACCAATATCCACATACAGATACCATTATTACACATAATTCAAAATTGAAATAAAATAAAAAAAATCCATGAAAAAAACGCACCTCTTGTATCCAAGAATCGAACCCCTGACATAAAGTCTGGCACAGCAGAAGAAAACAACGACGACATTAACAAATATTCATGAATAAAAAATTGGTATCATACTCTAAAACCACTTCAGAAGCGAGGGAGATAAACGTGATTCGGTTGCAAAGGGAAGAGTTAGATCGCAAACCTGACACGCTCTCCTTGCCGTCCTTTAACCATCGTGGTTCTTCTCTGCTATGCTAAACGGCAGCAGCTGCAGCAGTTTTAGGGTTCTTATACATTCTCAAACGAGGCGGGCCCAATTAGGGTTTTCTGCAAGGCCCATTCATTTGGGCTCCTAATGCCATGTTTTCTATTCGTCTGCTTTGTTTTTCCAATAAACTGCTAGAATGTAAATGTTTCTAAGTTCGGACTCCGCCGTGTCAATATAATTTTAATAGATAAAAAAAATCATAAATGTTATTTTAAACTTTCTTTTTATTTATTTTTATTACAAAAGAAATAATAAATATGTACAATAATAACGGAAGTAAGGGTTTATTTATAAAATAATGCATTGGAGACTCAAGAGTAATATATATATATATATATATATATAAGTGATTAGTGTATTGCTATCAAAATAATGGTTGTATGAAATAGCTTGCCAAATGTAGACTATAACGTATAAAATTTAATCAAACTCGATATAGCAGACAAACTAAAAACATCTGAAATAAAGAGAGTATATCGCCCTATATTTCGGTTTCATGACATATAGACTAACCATTTAACTATACAAAAGCCTCACCAAAGACAAAAGAAGAAAGCAAAGTCCATCCATAAGTCCAAACTTCAACCTATGCATGGTTGTTTCTCATGACCTCACACTCACCCTTGTTCCCAACCTTGACATCTCTAATAATCTCTAATTATCTCTTTGTCAAGTGTGGTTCTTAATCAATTATCTTGTGCACAATGTTTAAGGGAAGGAGGGGCCTGCTTGATGGCCCTGAAGAAAGATATGGATTGATGTCTTCTGGCATGAGAGGAATGTCCTCTAACAGAAGTAAAATAAGAGTATATCGCCCTATATTTCGGTTTCATGACATATAGACTAACCATTTAACTATACAAAAGCCTCACCAAAGACAAAAGAAGAAAGCAAAGTCCATCCATAAGTCCAAACTTCAACCTATGCATGGTTGTTTCTCATGACCTCACACTCACCCTTGTTCCCAACCTTGACATCTCTAATAATCTCTAATTATCTCTTTGTCAAGTGTGGTTCTTAATCAATTATCTTGTGCACAATGTTTAAGGGAAGGAGGGGCCTGCTTGATGGCCCTGAAGAAAGATATGGATTGATGTCTTCTGGCATGAGAGGAATGTCCTCTACACGACGTAAAATACGACATTGGCAAAAGCTTTTTAGGCTCAAACTTGGACGTCATATGTTTTGGAGCTTGATGATTTTGGTTTTTATGTGTGTACTTACCAAGTTTGTGTTGTTGAATATGTTTTCTGATCAGTTGGCCTTGGACCCTATAACGCATGCAAACGTGGTAAAACACGTACCTTCACCAAACAAGTCACCGGTATACAACAATTTGTTCTACATGATATTTAATTTACATTGTTACTATATCGTATATAATTTTGTAACTCTGATGATTCATTATGTCTTCATCACTTTCTGTGCATCCTCCCTTTCTTGCCTCTAAGGCTCTAATATTTGTTTTCCACGAAATGAATATAATAAGTATAATTATAGTTGGTGTGATAAAAGTTTAACAAGATAATCAATAATGTTCTTCTTATCTAGCATTCTCAGTTGCTCAGTTTCTTAACATTAATGATTACACGTTCCACGTTCTTTTTTTTTGTTATCTATTGAAAGTTATAATCATGCAAAATATATCTTATATTATGGATCTATATTTTCATAATTATAATGATTATGTTTTTGTCTTTTCATTCAACTAATAAATTGTTCATTCATGTAACTCGAGAATCCATATAAATTAATAGTTGTATTACACTCATGAAGGAAGAATTGTGAAAACACATTTAATCTCAATTTCTTATATTCACTTGAATAGAATTTTACCTGCACAAGTTAACAAATACTTTTTTTTTATTAAATTATTACCACGTTTATCATTAAAAACTACATAATTTTAATTTTAGGAGAATTTTTGTGTGTGTTTCATCTAACTTCTTGAAAAACTAATTTTTTTTATCAAATTATTAATTTTTTTTTAAAACAAGTAATTATTTTCATTAAAATAATTATATCCAAATATACATTTATAATCTTAATATATAGTGTAAACAATTATAAGAAAAGTGTTTCTATAATTTTTCATTGGAATAAAAATCATTCCTTAGATTATTATTTTTTTAAACACTCCTTAATACTTTTTACCTTTTCGGCATTGAACATTTAAAATTATATGAATTATTTTTTTTTAACTTTTTGTTGCCTTAAAAAAGTTGGTAAAGAATTGACAAAAAAATTGTGATAGCTTTAGTAGCCAGTTAATTATGTAAAATTATCTTGTATGATGTTATTTGGAGTGTCTACTACATATGTTTTTCACAATATAATCTGTATTAGTATAATTTGAAGTTACATTTAGATTGTGATGCTAGTTTTCCTCTATATATGTTAGTTAGACTCTCAAAATTTGGAAGCATCCCAATAGTAACAACTACTACAAATGCATAAATCGAACAAGGAGTGAAAGACGTGAGTCCAAAGCTCTGTATTGCTCGAAATTTGAGTAAATTTCATTATGTGATTCACAATTTGTCATCTTTGTAACTAGGAAGATTTTCTATTCTACAGGCAAAGGAAACACCACAAATGGTTACCTTATGGTCCACGCCAATGGAGGATTGAATCAAATGAAAACCGGAGTATGCAGTTAAATTGCTTTTAGAGTCTATTGTATTTTTTGTTTTGAATTTTTTGTTTACTTCAATATTATGAAATGTATATTAACATACGTTTCATCAAATTGTAGATAAGTGACATGGTTGCTATTGCAAAAATCATGAAAGCCACACTAGTTTTACCTACATTAGATCATAATTCTTTTTGGACAGATTCTAGGTATGGATTTTCATCTACTTTAGTTTCATGTCAAATGTGCCTCTCTAATTTTGTATGCTCTAATTCTAATTGTCTCAGTGATTTTAAGCAAATTTTTGACTGGAAGAACTTCGTTGAAGTTTTAAATGATGATGTTCAAATAGTGGAATCTCTGCCACCAGAATTCGCAAGAGTTAAGCCAATTTTGAAGGCTCCAATTTCATGGTCCAAGGCAATGCTGCATATTATTTACATAAAAAATTCTATCACATTTACAGAGTATTTATTTAAATTTTAATCTAATTTTTGTGATTGTTTTGAAACATGTAGGCCGGTTATTATGCAGGTGAGATGTTGCAATTGCTGAAGAAACACAAAGTGATCAAATTTACCCATACTGATTCTCGCCTAGTTAATAATGGTCTAGCTACTCCGATTCAAAAAGTACGTTGTCGTGCCATGTATGAGGCACTTAGGTTCACCACCCCAATTGAAGAGCTTGGAATGAAGTTGGTAAATAGAATTAGAAACAACAATAGCCCTTACATTGCTCTCCATTTGAGGTATTCTCTAATATGATTTACTACTTAGTAATATATAGTTGTACACTATCACCTAAACATAGAAAAATGTACATATTTAATTAATTAATGGCTGAAATACAATATTGATCCTCTTACTTTTATATTATTGTATTTCTAGTTTCCATCTTAGTTAAAATTCCATCAGCTTCACATCCAAAATTGAACAAAATTTGTTAACATTAGTCATTTCTCTCACAAGCGCGTGACAATAATGTAGATATGAAAAGGACATGCTTGCATTCACGGGGTGCAGCCACAACCTGACAAAAGAAGAAGCTGTAGAGCTTAAAAGGATGAGATATCAAGTGAAACACTGGAAGGTGAAAGAGATTGACAGTAAATCAAGAAGGTTACGAGGTAGTTGTCCCATGACTCCAAGAGAGGTTGCTGTGTTCCTTGAAGCACTTGGTTATCCTCTTGACACGAAAATTTACATAGCTGCGGGCATGATTTATGGCAAAGATGAAATGAAACCCCTACAAAACAAGTATCGCCATTTGCTCTCACACTCCACTTTAGCCACAGAAGAAGAGCTTTTACCTTTTAAGGGTCACCAAAACCAACTTGCTGCTTTGGACTATATCATAGCATTAGAAAGTGATGTTTTTATTTACAGTTATGATGGGCACATGGCCAAAGCAGCTCGGGGTCATCGCGCATTTGAAGGGTTTCGGAAAACTATTAGCCCAGACAAGTATTGATTCTGCTAAACAACATATATGCATGGCTCTATTTTAGTATATGACATATATAATTGATATTAATCCAACTTGGTTCTTTCTAACTAATAGACCTTAATATGTTGCAGACAGAGGTTTGTGAGGCTGATTGATCAGTTGGACAATGGTTTGATTTCTTGGGACGAGTTCTCATCAAGGGTTAAAAGTATACATGCAAACAAAAATGGAGGTCCTCATCATAGAAGAGTTCATCGACACCCTAAATGGGAAGAAAGTTTTTATGCAAACCCTTATCCAGGTTGCATTTGTGAGCATCGTGAGACAATGACCATGTAAATAAGTCATGACTTGCGACTTTGGTCATGAGATGAAACACAATTGTTTTGGATTTGTAAATATGTTAGGCAATTTCGCGATTGGAGCTATAGAAGTCACATGCTCAACTATTTTAAATTGTATATTATATATTAGAGTAACTAGATAGAGCAGGCTAGCTTGTAGGTATGACATTAATTAGTTTCATAGTCATATTTTGAATTGTAATTTAATTTTTGAATGTACTTTGGATGTTACATTAGCTAAACTTTAGAATTTAACATGACATTCATTTGAGTCTTGCAAATCATGATTAGTATGTTAATATTTTGGACAAATTCGCTCACGGTAGTAATAACTAGTTGACCACAGTTGTGAGCCCACACAGACAATATTGATTTTAATTATTTTATTTTTTTATTTGGGCCTAAACCATATTTAGCTCACACATAAAAGTAAAACTAGCATTACGAACTTATGAAAGGTGGGCTGGAATTGACACATTGATGAAAATCATCTTTTCCTCAACCTTAATTTTATCAACTTTTATATCTATATATTGTCTAGTTGTTGCTTTGTGGTTTTTTATTTTGTTTTTTTTTATTCTTTCTTGTATCCTATTTATTTCTTTCCTATTGTTTATATTTATGCAAAAATAATTGACCAACATTTTACATAATTATAAGGATCTAGAAAGATACAAAGAAACGAACCAAACACTGAATTCATAGGAAAGAAACTTAGATCTAAACCACAAAAGTAGATGAAAACTTTGGAGACTAATTGAATTAACTATAAATTTAAATGATTTAGTTAAACATAGTCACCACCAGAATAAGAAATCAATCTAATCATTAAATATTCTATGGCTTAAAAAATAAAACATTAACAAATTTATTACTAAATATGATAAATAAAAAATTAAATTAGATAAAAAAATTAAAAGATTAATTAAAAGTGTCTTTTGTCAAAAAATAAATTTTAAAAATATTTTTTTTATATTCATTCGAAATTAATATATGAGTTGATATTAATAATTATTTTTAATTTTTAATTTTTTTAGAGTTAAAATTTAAATTTAAATTTATAAATAAAAATTAAATAAAATAATAAAGATAAAAAAATATATTTTAAAGCGCTCCTATAAAAAATACTTTACGTAAGATATTGTTTAATATATAGGGTCGATTTAGGAAACAGGAAAGCAATCAAAAGGAAACGGTGCGCTTTGGCAAGGTTGGATTCTGTCTTCTTATTTCAATCGCCGTTTGCTGTCTTCTCTGATTCCACCGTCCACGTCGACTCCGCCACCGCCGTATACCGTCGTGATCTTACTCTTACTCCTCCCTCAGGTCCACATTCTCTCTTCTTCGTAATCTTTTATTTATTTTTTTTTTAGTTTTTTTTATGTCATTGTTCTTAAGTTTTCTGCCCTTGTTTTCAGTCAAAGTTTTGGGTGGTCCGTTAGTTCGTTCCGTTTTAAAATTACAAATTTTTTGTCATATGCAGTTCTGGTTGTTGGATTTGTCGGCAGATCTAGGGTTATGCATTTGTTAAGCTTATTTTTCTGTGTCTGCTATTCGATCCGAGTTTCTTTATTATCGTGAACTAACTATGAGCCATGCCTTAAAATCACTTGGTCCTTTCAATTGTTTCAATGTGCATTTTGCACTACAATTATAGAGACACCCAGGGGCAAAACCGTAAAAGACAACTACCACCACTGAATTATAAGTTCTTCAACTGAGAGGAAGAATTTATTTATAAAATGATGCAATTTTATGGAATGGTTTTGAGGCCCTTTATGTGATTGAAAGTGAGATTTTAATTTTTCTAGAATTCAGTTAAGGGAAATTGGTCAACCCTGTAGTAAGTCTGTCAGTTCTTTGACAATGGAAGCAACCCATTGCTCCCCCCCATATAGTACTACTGAATCAGGTTCAGGAATAACTTGCTGCACTTCAATTTAATGGTTATGATTACCTTTCCATCAGCATTTATGACCGATAATTTATCAAGGATGAGGGAATATGAAGATAACTGGTGTCAGAAAAGCTAGGATTTGGTTATGTAAAACACTTTCGTTGTGCTGCTAGTTTTTTTCATGCTTATGGTTAATGATTTCTTTTTCCTCCAAACATCAGCTGCATCAATGACCAGTGGCCTTTTTGAGTTAACACTTAACAAAAGCAAATCAATGGAGGGAACCACTGGTTTTGTAGTAGCTAAGTCATGATTTCATGCAAATTTTTTGGCTGTTATCTGCTCAGTCAGAATGAACTTGATCTCTATTCTTACTTACCAGTGCTTAGTTTTTCAGTGACCTCATTAGTTATGTTTCTATTTAGAAGTATGTTAGCAATTTCAAACACACTATTTATTATGAGTTCAATTTTGATACACTTCCAGTGTAAAAATGTTTACACCATCAAATAATAGAAATCGCCCTAAGTATGACTGTTTAATTATTACAAAAGCAAACATTCTTTAATTGTATAGAAATTCATGATTGGATGAATGCGTAAAAAAATTCACTGTCAATGTATCAAAAGTAAATCCACTAATTATTGGGTCAAATGCTATGAAGGACCAATATTTTAATTTGCTTCACATATCCATGTCCGATACCAATACTTTCGAATACTTCAATTTGACTCAAATGTATGTGGGACCAACAAAATAATGCATGTTCCATTTTCTATTCAGTGGGACCCACTCTATTTAGTAGGTCTTATATGAATTTTACCTAATAATAAGAGTGTTTTGGAAAGAGTATGTTCCTAATATTTCTCCTTAATTTTAAGAATATTAAGGATGCAGTATTTGATTTGATGAATTAAATTAAGCCTCCCTTTGTTTTAGAAGTCATCTAGATTGAGACATGTGGAGGAGCTTGAGGGGTGATCAACACTGGTCTTCTTGATTTGTTGAAGTCATTTGTTATTTTCTACTGCTGTTTATGGTGGAAAAACATGAAAGAACTAGTGCAACTGACTTGAACTTATTTGTAAGCTGGGTTGGTTTTCTTTACATTGCAGGGAAATGGGTTTGTGGACCTTACTTGAGGGGTTCCTGCTTCTTGCAAATGCACTAGCAATACTAAATGAGGACCGTTTTCTTGCTCCAAGAGGATGGGGCTTATCAGATTTTTCAGCTGGCCGGACAAAATCTTTCAAAGGCCAGCTTATAGGTCTCATTTATGCAACTCAGTACCTAAGATTTCCTCTTATACTTCTCAATACTATCTGCATTATCGTGAAGTTAGTTTCTGGATGATGCTGGGCAAGGTGAGATGTCAATACATATGTCTGGTTTAAACACGTATCTATGCATCATCCTTGTTATTATTATTAGATGCTAATTTTTTATTTAAACATAACAAATATGTGTTGTTTATGGGAGAGCCTTGAGCTTTTTTTATGTTTCACTAATAAATGAAATGCTTAAAAATGAATTATTTTTCTGAACATGATGTTAGAAACATTCTGACAGATATTGCAGTTCAATGCATGTATGCATCACACATGTACTGAATTTAGTTATAGATTGCTAGGTTAGTTTGCTACTAGGGTCATCAGTAGTTTTTACTTTTTTATGTCCTTCATTCTTCTGATTGTTGAAAAATAGCATGAAATAACTGCTGAAACGTAGGCATTTAAGTTATGGAATTTACATTGGACTAAGCCAAAATGGATAGTTTTAAACTTACCTAGGTTGATTGTGAGGTCAATATTCTTAAATGTATGTTTGATTAAGTTTATTTGAAAAAATAATCACTTATTTTTGTTAGTTTCATGAGTGTTTTAAATAATAATAATAATAATAATAATATTATTATTATTATTATTATTATAGTGTATACTAAACATGCACAACTAGCATGGTGAATCCACTTTTTTCATATTAACATACACTACATTTCTTAAAATATCCTTAACCACATTTATTGTAGATAATGCTTTCATTTATTGTTTTAGGGATATTTTTAGAATAAGAACATTAAATAAAGTTGAATTGCTTGAAATTTGCTTATATTTTAGTCTTAAAAATTTAAACATTTTTTGCTTCTATATAGGTTCAAAGGGAGTATCTATGATCTACCCAAGCATTTTGTCTCCAATGTCCTTTTGCTTATGCAGATCGCAGAATGTGGTTTTTATTTTCTTATTAAGAAGCTGCGGGGTATAATGGATGTATCATGACATGCAACATGCTCTGTTTCTTAATAATGTCAGGTTCAGGATTTATCATCAGATTATTTCAAGTTGTTCTTAGGTTGGAAAATTTGATAAAAGTTAGATACCAAACAAATGACAAAATTCGATTGTAGAAATATACATTAAAAGTATCTTTTTTGGGATATTAATCCATTGATGTTATTTATTATCGTAAAATCATGTTTGCCTTCATGACATAACTAGTCAGTAAATGAGATCATTGTGGTTGTGATATTAGTTGGACGGGTTTTGTATTCATTTTTGAAGAATTAATGATAGCTGTTAATTTTCCTTGTGTAAATTCTCAGATTGTTTTTAACTGCTTCTTGCTTGGTGATATGTGTCCGAACTGACACTGCTCAAATAACTTTCACGAAATAATATTATTCATATCTTACTTCTAAAATTGTTTGTTGATTCATAAATCAGTGCCGAGGCTATACTTTTTGCGATCTTTTACCTCAATGCCGAAGTCTCTGGTTAGTACCACAATTTAGTGAGGTGGACGTGTAAGGTGTATTTAACAAAAGGCAAATGCTAAGTAACTGGTCAACTAAACAAAAATAAACAAATTGTTATTGAGAAATCAAAAAATTATTATAATTGTGTTTGGCAAGAACTAGTTTATAAGTTAGTAGTTGAAGCTTAAAAGTTAGTTGTAGGCTTGTTAACTAATAAATTTTTTAAGTTAGTGAGCTTATTAGTTAATTAAAAACTTATAAATTAGATGATTGAAAATGTTATGTGAGACTATCTAATAAATTGGTCGATAAATTTCAAATGGCATAAATGTAAAATGAAAAACTGGGATAAAAAAGGATTTCAATGAAACATGGTTGGATAAAATTAACAAAAGAAAGCTAATTGTTTTAAGCTAAAATCAAATTGAAGTCATTTTTTTTCCATGAATATAGCTCACTTAGTATTTTAAAATTGATAATTAAGGATTAATTTGTACCTGTAAAATAAAAATAAATTAGAAGTTATAAAAATAAGTTTATATAATATTTATTTCGGTGAAATTAGCTTATGAACTATTAGAGCAACTTTCTAAATTTACAAATCAAAAAGAGCAACTTACTAAATATACTCTTTAAACATAAAAGTCATTTAATATTTGTATTTTTAAATAAATTAAAATATTTAAACAGTCTTCATCGTTGAGAAAGACTTCGTGGGAAAGAAAGCTCGATTGGGTGATTTTGTATCTTCAAAGAAATTAGTCTTTTGACCTTGTGATTAGGAGCACAATGAAAGAAATATTTAATAAGCACAATAAGATGTAGTTAATTATTTTTTATCTAGTACTGCTGTGCTCGTTAATAAGATTATTAAAAATATATAAGATAATATTTAGTATAAGAATCGTTTTAAAATTTTTGGAACAACATAAGAATAAAAGTTTTCCAATACATTTATATGTATAACAATAAAAAAAAATTTCGGGCACAAAGGTTTTTAACCCTTTTAAGCATCTCATTCTTAACAATCACACATCTTGGAGAGTGAACATCTGTTTGGTAAGTGGTTGGGGCAACGCGACATGACTTATTATGAGAAGAGATAAGATAGTCAAGATTGGAGTGACATGATTTACAAACGGCATTCAACGCCAATGATCCTTTTTCTTAGCTGTTGGTTAAAATCGACTTTGACCTTGAACAAATGAAGCCTTAAATGATAATGAAAACATGTTTGAAGCACAAACCGTTATCATTAGAATTGCTGAAAGAATATAATGCATTTAATCATAAATCCGCAAAAAGATGATACGTTTTGGAGTCTAAAGCAATAAGCCGCAGGGCTGCAACAGTTGCTGCAGCAGACATGATGGCAAAGAAACAAATATTGACCCAATGCCAGAGCTTTTGGATGGATGTTAGTTTGGTCTCATTTGCCACTAGGTACATATGGTTTGCAAGGATAAATGTGAGGGGAAATGTGCTGATTGCTCCAGTGAGGCTCATGAAATCTCCAAGAAATGGCAATAGAGCTGATACAAATGTGTTTAAAGTCAGGTAGCCACCTCTTACAAGGACTCGAAATAACAAGTTCTTCAAAGTCAGGGCGCTCCCTTTGATCCCATGTTTGGTATCCCAATACTCGTACATTGGACTCGCAAATATCTACCAACAGCAGAAGAGATGTTATCAGGCCAGTGATAAATTTTAAATAAAATATTTAGTAGCAACAAAATTGCAGTTCAGAAGTTACTACATGCAATGCAATGACTGATTGAAGAAAGGCTGCAATATTGGCCATGGCCTTCAACCAAACTGGACCTTTGACATCACTCAGCAAATAGGTTGGTGTTGAAGATCCATAAGCCCAGTACCCTGCAAAGGTTACCATAAATAATGGCACAACTCCAACGGTAAACTGAAAGTACAGGGACTTCATCATGTTCTTGACAACTGGCTGCCTGATGGTTGCCTGTAAGGGTCACAACCAAATAAAACGCACTTGCAAGAGGGTTGTGAATCCACAATCCACATTAAACTCAAGAAACGAATAACTATAAGCTTGCATGTTACCTGTATCTCAGGAAGCATTCCTGTGTTATATGCAAACACAAGATTAGCAGAGGCCCCAATTGTTGTAAATATTTTACTTGTTGAAACCCCCGGAATACTATAATCACGAGGTGGCGATTTTATACCTATTGATGCAAGGGATTAGAATGAAGTTATTGTTCTGAAGCTAATAAAAATATAAAATAAATGAACAAATTAAACATATAGAAAAACAATTGTTCTGAAGTAAAACATTGTGATTCTCAATTATTGTAGTCACCCGTGAAGAAAAGTCAGGAGAAGCTCCAGCCTAATTGAGAGCTTGTAATCAAGGTAGAAGAGAAAGGAGGAAAAAGAGATGGTAATTATCATTTTATAGTGAATACTCTGTAATGTGATTCGAAGTTCGAACTATATTCTAGTATATAACTGAAGGAGTAAGTCTGTATATTGCCAGTTCTCAAAGAACTAATGGAGAAAGTGAATCAACAAGGGCAATTGATTTAAAGAAGCAGTGGAATTAAGAGCAAGTCTTTGTATGACAAGAAGTACACAGGCACACACAGACATATAACACCACGAGTCCATGAGAGATTACCATCTCTTACTGACAGTACAAACGCTATAACAATATAGACTAGGCTGAAGACGGTTGAAAATCCAAGCCAAGTTCCAAGAGCCGATAGATGGGGAATACAAATGGCAAACATTGCACACACAAATCCAGCTATGGCAATAAAATACGGAAGCTTCATTAGATCGTCATCCCTAAATAGAACATAAGTAGCCTGCATGACAATGAACAAACAAGATTCAGAAAACTCCCAGAAGCACAAACAATTTCTCCACGTAGAATTGAAATAAGGTACTATTTTTCTCCTGATCCAGAAACATCATTATCCAATCCATAGTACACGGATAGAGAAGAATTAAGCAGTTGATGTGAAGCCACAGAAAGAAATAGCAAGCTACTTGAGGAACAGAAAAAAAATAAAAATTGAAATAGCTGATTTAAAGACATCAAGATTGTTAGGTACTGCAATAAAAGAAGAATATTCTTTTTTTGTCACAACAGGGAATACGAAAACCAAAGACTAATAGTGTGTTTGGTTCAAATTTTCAACGTCATTTATCACGTTAAAATGAAAATTATCAATTATAACTTTTACGTTTTAAACGTGATTTTTGCTTCGATTCACATTTTGGACGTGTTATCAAACATGCCCTGATTCATGGAGATATCGAGATTCATTTAATAAGTGAATTTCTTTAACAAATATTTTATTAGAAACACATGAACCGAGACTAAACACACATACCGAAGTGTTGGTAAAAGAAGGAAAAAAATAATGATTGCAAAATTGGTGTTAATGTTACCTTTAAAGCGGAACCAGCCAAAATGATATAGCCGGCATTTATCATGAAAAGATTGACATACTGCATAGTCCATGTGAGGGAATAAGCTTTGGAACCATATATAAACCCAGCAAGATCTCTGTATCGAATATGCCTGGTTCCTCCAAACTCATGGAGCCTAGCAATGAGAGCATTGGCATAGAGCGATATGGCGGCGGCGAGAATCAAACCAAGGACGCCCCCTGTCCAACCCAGCGGCACCATGATGGTCCCCGAATACCCCAACACATAGGCGCTGTTGATTCCCGTCGTCAACACAAACCCCACTTGAAACCATGAATCTGCCAGTGCCACAGACACCTCACACCTGATTTATTCATGTAATAAATTCGCAATTCAGTTGGTAATGGATAGAGAAAGAACGCACCCGTGCTGATTTGATGCGCGGTGTCGGGGATTTCGACATCTCCGAGGATTTCAACGTCGGAAAGCAGCGCCATGCTCAACTGCTCCTCCTCATCCACGACAACGTTGTTCTTCGCCGCCAGGTTGCCTCTTTTCGATTGGACAAATGATATGAATCTCAATAAAATCTTTGTTAGTTATAAGTGTAACTAACTCCTGCTCCTAGTGTTTGGGTTTTGGAGAACACCAGAGTGCGGTGTGGTAGAACACAGCCACTAATAATTTCTTTTGTTGCCGCTGGGTGTAGTTAGTTGTGGGGTGGGTCCCACAATTCTGTAGTAGTAGTAGTACTACTCGTTCGTCGATCCTACACCCTTTGCAATTTGCATTGGAGTATCAAACTTTAAAGGCTACTCACCTGACCAAGAGCTCATAGCCAGTGGATCGCTGATCGGTGATCGGTGATCTAGATTCAAGGAGTTGTATCTCTTTAATAAGCTTAAAAAAGAAAAGAAAAAGAAACTTGCTTGTACAAGTTATTATTTTTTATAATTGAATTAAGTTATTTTAAATAATCTTTTATTTGAAACTTGTGCATTTTTAATATATCAGATTCTAGTTAAAATAGATAAAAAGATCTCACAGTCTAAGGGGTAACAAAATATCCCTAAATTATTTCATATTCTAAAATTATACAGGCTTGGTATCCTGGTAGCTTGGTGAAGGCAATTAGTTATGACATTGTTAGGATCACTCGAAACCCATGAAACTCAAAAGTTACATTATGAAACCACTCGAAAGAAGGATAAAAGATAAACACCTGTCAGGGGTAGACCAGGAGCCTTATTTGTGTATTTGAGACATGGTCGAATAGAATGGGTTGAATCGAACAGAGAAGTGCTCGAGAAATAGATAAAGGAAGTTAAATCAGAGCGATTATTGAAAAGTGAATCGAAAAGATAACAAAAAACGTGGGATGAACGATTACGGAACGGTTACGAGAAGTTATATTCTAGACCACGTAATAAGAACGTCGTGGATGACGGTTACTTTCCAATAACTCACACGTACACAATTAACCGCCTTCGAAGTAGCTCTATAAATATGAAAGGTATAGTGATTTACGGGGGGTCAGAAAAATCATACTTGAACTCTCAAGCACTCACCGCTTGCGCATATGACTTTCGTGCAAGGAATTGCTTCTGGGTATGACCATTTCTTGGCCACATTTCTTTTCTCTTTTTAGGATTAGGATTAGTATAGTTTTCTTCTGTTAATCATGTAGTGTAGTTGTGTAATTGTAGTAACATGCTTCAGCATTTGATTAGTTTAGTTGTCTTTTCCTCTTTTAATCACGTAGTCATATAGCTTTATAATTGTAACTCGTTATGGTGACGTGAACATGATTTGTATTGCAAATATATGTCTCGTTCATTCTGTTTATTTGAGGGTTTACTTTCATGAATATTATTGCTTGTTAATCATTGATGAACATGTGGAAATAAGTAATTATTAATCTTTCTGCTCCATCTATTATTCTTCACGTCTAAAAACATTAAATACCTAACTTGAAACACCATTTGTGGTAGTTCGAATAAAAAGAATCCATAAACTAATTCCACCGTAAACATACGTAAATAGGAATGTTTTTTGGTCTATATATGCTTTGGATGCATACTAGTATACATTTTATGTTAAGGAGGGTTGAGTAAAGGAAGTGATGAGAAATGGGTTACAGAATTGCTCAATAATTGTGGGTTGCCTCTTGAGTAAAGGAAGTGCTTACCTAATGGCTATGGTTGTCTGTTTCTGTTGTCCTCTTTGTATATATGAGGTTATGAAATGTGTTTAGTTTAGGTAGGTAGCTTTGTTCATGGTGGCATTACTTATCCATTCTGCTATTGCGGTGTGGGCTATGAAAAGGGCTTTGCTCATTCACTTCTATTCTTCCTGTCCCTCATTTCCTTCTTTCCTAATTCTATCAAACTTACTCTCATTCCACTAATTTTATACTCTTGTTACTCAAATTTAAAAACCTGTTCTTTATACCATGTAAAATATGAATGTGACAATTTATATATTATTAAAAGAATTGTTTATAATTATTGATAATTTACTTTAAAATATTAATAGTTAATTTATAAATAACTATGATAAATAAAAATTAAATTAACTAAAAAATTAAAAAAAATATTTCTATAATTTTTATTTAAAAAAATCTGTAAAAATACTTTTATACAAAATAAAAATTCATACTTAACATATAAAAACCGTGGAATACTAATCTTAACATTTTGGTTGGATGATAAGAAAACAAACCTAAAATATCACTGTTTCATTGGATGGAAAAATCCGAGGAGGAGAAGGTATTTGCACAATGGAAATGATTTTAGGATAGAAAAGCGATGAAATGGACAAACTTTATTTATGCTTTACGTTTAGTCCCTTTAATTTATATTTAAAACAGTGACTGATTTTTCACTAAACAACAAAAAAGGAAGTGGGAAAGAATCTCCTTGGATACAGATTTTAATTTTAAGAGGCTAATATCATTCAGAAATCAAAGATGGACCCCTCATCATATTGTCTATACTCTATACTGATATTTTATTTAGCTCTTGGGTGGTCTATATCCTTTTTCTTTGAATTAATAATTCACTAGTGAGACACCAATCAATTAATTAAAATAAGTGGCAAACTAAAATCATCAATTAGGGACATTTTGAGACAGGGTTTGTTTAAATATTTATGCACACGTGTCTATGAATTGATAAAAGAAATGTGTCTACGAATTTAATTATCAACTTAAATCACTAGTACAAAAATGTTTTTTAAAATCGAGGTTTTAAAATCGGTCATCAAGTAGCCGATTTTAAAAGTAATGCAGTGACAATTTTGTAAATAATGGCATTACTTTTAAAATCGACTACGTTATGACCGATTTTAAAAGTCCCTGACGCTACTTTTAAAATCGGCTCTTGAACAGCCGATTTTAAAAGTGAGACTTTTAAAATCGGCTCTAAACAACTCTAAATAGCCGATTTTAAAAGTATCACTTTTAAAATCGGTTATTGAACAGCCGATTTTAAAAGTAGTATTAGAGAATTAATTACACTATCTCTGCTCCTATTGCTCCATTCTCTACTATTTTGCTTCAATATCATATATTCTTCCTCTTTACTCTCTGGGACTCTCATCTGAAGTGTGCAGCTTCTCATTTTCTGGGACGAATTCAACATTGAGGTAACATTTTCGTTTCATGCGTCTTATTTCGTTGTTTCTGGGCGAACTTTGAGTCTGGAACGGCCCCAGAATGGCCCGTACTACTTGCAGAACGGCCAGTACTGCAAGCAACACGGCCTGTACTGCAAGCAGTACAGGCCGTTCTACAAGCAGAACAGCCCGTTCTGGGGCCGTTCCAGACAGTGAAGCACTTTTAGGCATTTTTCTAAATTGGACCCCTTGTATGTATGTGTTATATATTTGTATTTTATTAATAATTTGTGATATAATTAATGTCTACCTAGTAATTTAGTGTTTAGAAAAATTAGGTGGTTTATTTTATTTTTATAAATTAGTATAATGTTATATATTTATGCACATATTGAGTGAACCTTAGTTTCTCTTTTGAAATTTAATACAAATGATTAAAATAGTGAGATTAACGTTCATGGTCTATGTTTTTTTTTATGAAGAACAGAAGTTATGGATAAAAGTTGGTTATTGAATCGAAGTTGGATACATGCATCACGTATAAGTGATGAGTATGAGACTGGAGTAGAATATTTTATTGAATATGTAATACGAAATGCTAATGATGATATGAATGGAAGGTTTTTTTGTCCTTGTGTTAATTGTTGTAATGCGACTCGCCTAGAACTTGATGTTATAAGAGAACATCTTTTGTGTGATGGATTTCTTAACAATTATACACGTTGGATATGGCATGGTGAAAATGTTGACATTCAAAGTGAATCAGTCGAAACTCAAACTCAAACATTTACACAAGAGATAGATATGGATGATCGGTTAGAGGAGATGCTTCGTGATGTTGGTCCATAATCATTCAAGCGTGCACATATGTATGAAACTATGTGCAACGATATGGATGATTATTTATCCTATGGACAATATATTTGTATGCATTTGTTCGATGCACAAACCTCCTCCTGCAGATTTTAAACAATTATTAGATAAGTAAGTTGTTTTAAAAAAACTACTTTATTTTATTTATCATTACATTTTATTTTAAAATATAATAATGATGTCCTTTTATCATTAGGGCTATGGAAGGATACCATATGCTTAAAGGTTCAAAGTTGAAGAAAAAAATGCTTTGGGTCTCTCTTAAAGTAAGTTATTTTAGTAATGATATTTTTTCTAAGGTATTTTCTTTTGAATTACCATTACTACTAAAATTGGTTTTTATATTCTTTTTGTAGTCTCATAAGCAAAAAGGAAACTATGAGTGCGGATACTATGTAATGAAGGCAATGCATACTATTGTTGATTCACAAATAGTATCTGGGTGGACTGAAGTACGTTTTAGAATTTTAAAATTTTTTATTTTAAGTTTGCATTTTATCATGTTTTAAGAGTTACTTCTAATTGTTCTAAATTTTCTTAACAGATATTTATAGATCGATCATCATTGTCGCTAGAAGATATAAACACCATTAGGGAGCAATGAGCTACATTTTTCATTGAAACATTGGCTAGCTTCAAGTTATGATTATAGTTTTACTCATTTTGTAGTTTAGGATGTACATAATTTGTAAGTTACTTTGATTACATATATGGTTGACATTTACCAACTCTTGTTATTTGTATGTAATTTGGTATATTAAAAATATATGAATTGTCTGGTATTTTATTAATTTGTAGGTTTTGTTCAGGGACCCTCCTAAAATAAGTCAAATATTTTAAAAAAAAATTAACAACTTTTAAAATCGGTCATGACATGACCGATTTTAAAAGTGGGACAGTGACCGATTTTAAAAGTGAGACTTTTAAAATCGGTCAGCGACCGATTTTAAAAGTGCTAGTTTTCAAAATCGGCTCTTTTAAAATCGGTCACAGAACCGATTTTAAAAGTAAAAAACGACCGATTTTAAAAGTGTTTTTTCCACTAGTGAATAATTTTTAATTATATAAATTAAGTGAATTATTCACTCATTATAATTTAAAATAAAATAAAACTTTAGCTTTTAGTCCATTTTAAACTCTTATAATTATTATTTACAGATGAACTATTTGAATCGTATTTTCTGGTTTTAACTATTTTTTATATTATATATTTTACTATTAAAGTTATAATGTATCTTAAGGTATTTTTAATCAAATTTAAAATAAAGTAAAAAAATAATGTGCATTTGAATATACATCATACTTTTATTATGTAACTTTTTTTGGTATATACTTTTATTATGTAAATTGATGTAATGGTTAAAATATCTTTAAATATAATATTAAAAA